ATGTAATGTATCTGTGTGTGATTGTGAGTGTATGGATGTATCATGCATCTGTGTGTAATTGTGAGTGTATGGATGTATCATGTAATGTATATGTGTGTGATTGTGAGTGCATGGATGTATCATGTATCTGTGTATGAATGAGAGTGTACGGATGTACGGTATCTGTGTAGGAATATGAATAATATGAGTGTATGGATGTATCTGTGTGTGGTGATTTTGCCACTATAGTTTTCGAAAGGAGATAGGGCATTTAATATTAGACCTACTGACAGCTATCAAAGTAAAATGTTGTTAAATAAGTATGTAAAATGCTTCCTAAAAGGCCACAAAATACGTGTATATCGTCTAAGCATAATTTCTCTATCCATCACTTCAAAATGTAGAGTTAGGGGCTAGATGGGATAAAAGTTGTGTATCTTAATATTAGTAGAAAAAGGACGATTTCTCAATTATTTTTTTTAAAGTGTAAAATTCAAAAGCAACTTTCGGGTTCTGAATTGGTGGGGTGCGCCATAGTTATTATGTACTATGTACTGATAAAATGTGTATTTTTCTCTTATTCGTCGCTACCTGGTTCTGTTGAATAAGTCGGTATTCGCACTGGCTTTTCATACTTCATTACTTTCTTTGGATTAAGTTTATTCAGACATCCTGCCTTCTTATTTACTTATTCTTTTTCGTTCCCGCAATAGATAAACAGCATTGCTCGAGAGGACACCAGTGTGAAAAAGTACACCCGATCAGATACCGTGAAATCGATCAAGCTGCCCGGAGTGAGTGGCGGCTCGGCGTATTCACAGGCCGCACGGCGTCGACAACCGGTCCCTGTCAAGACATTCCACCTCAGGGTGAGTCGCATTCTCGTTTTGGTTATGATGGGCAGGAGTTTAAGTTTGAGTTTAAGTTTGAGTTTAAGGTACAATAAAACGCACTGAAAATTCGAAAATTGAGCCCCTGGCTCAGTGGTTAAAGCATAAGTGAAGAAGAAATGGAAACAAATTTGCTTCACCGAAGTAAGTGTGTGTCATCAGAGCTGTGCTTGTGAGTAACCACTCTCAGGGTGTTATAATAAACGGCTCCTCATGGGCAGCGGTAACCATTTCATCTGTCCCCGTGGTTTTATGCACCCCGCATAATTTAGCAAAATTTGATCTTTTTTGTTGTTGCACAATTTCTGATTATTTTCCTTAAACATTCTTTGTTAAAATTAACAGAATCGCATAATTTCACATTTTCGTGCTCAGTTTGCATAATTTCAGAATTTTTCTAGCATTAAACGAAGGGGACAGTTTGATGCCTCGAACTGCTAAGAATTTCTGAATTCCTTGTTGTTTATGTGTATGCTCTATATGTATTTCATTTTTTTCGGGGGGGGGGTACGACTGAACGATCGACTGCTCTGTGTCAGTATTTATCAGGGTTTAACACCCCACAAAGCTTACAAGATAGGCTACTTAAGTTTCATGTAAAGTTTCAGGGACTTGGTTTCCACAACAGGATTCTTGGCTTACACTTACACTCAACAACAGTGTTCGTTTTACATCGGTCTCCAGCTTTCCTTTTTGAACTGCCATTACGTGTTGCTCGGTTGGAGACTGTCATCGAGATCCAAAGTTCGAAAAAAAACCCAATTTATCAATGTTTAGTATTGAGGGTAAAACTAAGACATGTTAATAGTCTATATATATGCCCAGATATATCCCAAGCTTAGGCACCGTTAGAGTAGAGGGTTGACAAATGCGAAGAAGGGGGAGCTGGTGGTCATTCTAACATATTTGTTGAATTCGTTAATACAAGAGGTGGAGAAACAAGACACAAATGTTTAGGCTGATTGCCTTATTGCAGAAACTACATCGTTCACCGCCGACGTGTCATGTAACATATTTTGTACTTTTTTCATTGTGCAGTAAACAAAAAAATGTATCCAGTCATCTTTCTTTCTGTTGAAACAGCTTAACCCTGAAATGTCCAAGTCCCTCAGCAGCCTCCCGTCCATCCCCGGCTCCCCGTCCGTCGACCAGAGTATTTCACCTTCATCAGATCGTGAATACGAATTTAAAGGCACTGCCTTCCCGGCTAAACATCGCTACCAGAAAATTGCTTTCCAAAAGACTCTACACGCTGAAAAAACCTCAGCGGATGATTTAACACTTGGGGCATCTCTCGGCCAAAATGAAAAAGGAAAAAGCAATCGTTTCGAGGGTGTCTATCGCAACGCTCTACCACGTCGTCCTCATCGCCACCATCCTCACCACGCAGGGTCCTCCGAGCCAGAGACGGCCCGCTCTCTGATAGACGGAGAACCCCCAAAGAGTAGCAGCACTCTCAGCCACGTCCGGATGCGGAGATATTCCAAAGAGAGCTCTATCAGCGACACCAGGAGCGAAGGTAACTACCTGGTAGCCAAGAAGTGGAAGGACGATTGTGACTGTCTGCGGTGCCAGATGTTGAGGCGACAGTACAAGGAGGGGGACGAGCAATACAAACTCTGGGGACAGTACCCGTGCCACAGGGTCGACCACGCTATTCGGCTTGATGACGATTGACGTGCCTCGTACGTTTAGTACAGTCAAACCTGCTCTAACGGTCACCTGTACAAAAGGCCACTCCTCCTG